GGAGGGGCGCGCAGACGGCTACCACGCAAGGGCACAGGCAAGCAGACGGTCAGTTATCCTCCTGCTGCTCTAGCTCCTCCTCCCGCTCCTCCTACAGCTCCTCCTCCTCCTGGCTACATCTGACGTCTGAAAACATCAGCACGCACTCTAGCATTCGGTGCGAACGCTCGACATGCCGCTTGTGGACGACGAACGATGAGTAGTCGTCATGAGACGATTGGCCACGACACCCGCAGCGGTGTCAAGCACGGTAGCAGAAGACATGGTGGCGTCAAATGCAACGCCGACTGTGAGGAATATTCGCCGAATGTGTTTGCAGAGCTCCTCTGCCTTCTCGCCGTCGCTGGTCACCAAGCCCGCAAGCCTCATATGCTCGTCGAGGAAGGAGGCATTGGGGAAACGGAAACTGTCGCTGGCCACCACTGGCAGGTACCTTACGGATGTCATCTCCATCGCTGAGAAAAGCGACCGGAATATATTCTCTTGCTCCAGCGCGCCGAGCGTGCACAGGAGGATGATGTTCGCGGTTGTGTTCGGGACGGGGGCTCCATTTTCTAAAAGCAGTGGGATTTGCTGGGTGCTGTCGTGCAGGTGCGAGCACAACAACTCCGCCAAGACCATCGCCGAGGCGATAGCTTCTGTGCTGCTCCTGTCGTGCACGATCAGCGTCTTGGAAGCCGTCTCACTGGCAGCAGACGATCGCTTCGTAGACCTGGAGGTCAAGCTGTTGGCTCTAGATCGGCTTCTGGCCATCGGTGGGTCTGGCGGTTTGTCCGACGGAAGGTTTTCCAATGGTGGGTCGTCTGCGTCCGTCTTCTCGCTGACGTTAGGCGGGCGATCCGAATCGACCTTATTGAGGACGTTCCGCACAAGGGCGCGGAGATCGTGGTCGCTGAAATCCGGTTCGACAGCGACCACCCTCTGTTCTCTGATCCAGCGGAGCGCGTCCTGGGCCTCTGCGAGACTGCAGCCCTGCTCCGAGAGGACGGACAGGTCTTGGATGTGCGACTCGTAGTCGGAGATGAAGCCGTCGGAGGGCTCGAGGAAGTCTGGGAAGGCGAGCCTGACAATCTGGAGCGACTTCGCCTTCGCGGTCACGATCTCTCCCATGCACCAAGGTCGCACGCACAGCTCTCGCGTGCACAAGACGACCAAGGTCTCGGTCTGATTGCCGACCAGATCGAAGAGCATATCGAGATCGGTCAGGTTGTCGCAATCGACGAATACAGTCACGCCCATTCTGCTCAGAGTCATCTTGAGGAGGCGCGCAAAGGCCCCCGCCGCAGCCTTATGGTGGCAGAGAAAATACTGAAATGTCTTCGACCGCTTTTGCATCACGTGAAGAATAAGAGCGTAAGCCCCGATCACCGGCAAGAGCAGCAAGAAGACAGCAATCAACATCAGGCACACCAACGCGAGCATGGGCCCAGGCTCCACATTCACGTAGAGACCAGCACTCCCGACGACGAACAACATGGCGATAGTAAAACCGACCTCGATGTAGTTGGCGACCCGGACGCGGTAGGGCATGAAGAGCACGAGGGAGAGCAGATAGGCTGAGAGCACCAACTGCATACCGACGAGTTGGACGGAAACGTCGTAGATGGCAGGCAGCAGGGCCAGCGCCAGGCTGCGAAACAGGTGCATCAGGGCGAACCAGTAGATCTCGGGACGAAAGCGGAGGAACAAGAAGGAATAGCAGATGAAGTACTCAGTACGGCCCTCTTGCATGGCTACGGGGAAACGCCAAACCACGTAGCAACATCTGGCCAGGTAGCCAAACGGAATAGCGAGGGCAACGATAGCAATGAGGACCATGGCCGTGTGCTCCTCGGACTCCCAACAAATCACCGACTGGTACGCGCGGCTTGTCAGCTTACCGTTGGGGTTCTTTAAGCACTGCACTGGCTCCAGCACCGCCGAAAGCACCGACATGTACGATACCATGAATACTGCGCCGATGCAGGCCGTCAGCCAGGGCTGTCGCTCCCTGAACCTCCAGCCGTGCAGAACTCCGACGGAGATGATGTGCACCAGTACCAGGACGGCAAGGCAGACGACGAAGAGCATAATGGTCGCCGAAAACCGAATGATGGGTGACAGTTTGCCGATGCAGTTGAGACTTAGAAAATCCGCTGGCCCCTTGCGGGTCTCTAGGCGTGTGAGATTGTCCCCCCATAACCTGACCGGACGAAAACGGGAAGCGTCCTTGTATGCCCTGGGCTTATGTGATATTTACGTTATTAAGATGCGCTGCGCAAGTCTGTCGTGGCGTACGTACGTTTGCGCGTGCGCGTGCGTGTGGGAATATGTGCATGTGCGTCGTGAGTGGTGGTCTGCGGCGCTGCTGTGTCATCCCGTGCTTCTCTGCCGTACTCCTGCGGTCTGCGTGAAAGTATGCTGTCTCCCTGTGTGTGTGCGTGTGTGCGTGTGTGTATGTGTGTGCGTGTGTGTATGTGTCTGTGTGTGCGCGTATGCGTGTGCGTGTGCCTGTGTGTGCGTGTGCCTGTGCGTGCGGCTGTGTGAATAGATGTTCTGGGTGTTCTGCGATGCTCCTGCAAGTTATGCCGTGTTCCTATGTGTTCTGCCGCGCTCCTGTGCAATCTGTGTGTTCTGCCATGTTCCTCGTGCTCCTGCGTGTTCTGCCGTGCTCCAATGTGTTCTGCCATGCTCCTGTGTGTTCTGTGTGCTCTGCAACGCTCCTGCGTGTACTGCCGTGCTCCGTGGTGTTCTGCCGTGCTTCTACGTATCCTGTGTGTGTGTGCGTGTGTTCTGCCATGCTCCTCGTGCTCCTGTGTGTTCTGCCGTGCTCCTGTGTGTTTTGCCGTGCTTATGTGTGTTCTGCCGTGCCCCCGTGTGTCCCACCATGCTCCCGTGTGTTCTTTGTATTCTGCCGTGCTCCTGCGTTCTGCCGTGCTCCTGTGTGCTCTGCCGTGATGCCGCGCGTTCTGCCGTGCCTCTGTGTGTTGGTCTGCGGTCGCCCTGCCCATTTTCTTGGGATGCCCCAGGCGAGAAGCTCAAGTTTGACATGCATGGTCTTGAATCAACCGTTTCGGCATTTCATGTGTTTCGAAGATGTCTCGGGCAATAGTGCCACTGTCATAGGTTGAAAACTCGCGGCTTCCATTGCCTGGTGGGTGTCTCGACGATGGTACGAGCAACTCGTTTGTTGTGAGGATGTCCCAAGCGAAATTCACAATTTGAGGAATCTCGAGGGCGCTCTTGGGGTCACATTGGGCCTCGTTTTGGGCCCGTCTGGGGCAATATCGATGGCATCAGAAATTAGGTCAGTGCGTGCGATGTCACACACACATTTTCAAAAGCCTGAATTGGACCGTCTGGAAGCCTTTTCAAGAGCGATTCCAAGACGATGTTAGAACAGCAGTTTTCAAAACGATGTTGTTGTATGTTTTCATTTGTGTGAGGACGTCCCTCGCGAAATCGTCAGTTTCGGCAGTCTTCAGAGCGCTCTTGGAGCCATCTTGGTGTCCTTCTGGGGATCTCATTTCTTAATCTTGAAGCACTTCAATAACGATGTCAAGATGATGTTACGAACATATCATTGTGTTGAAAATGTCCCCAACGACTTGCAAAGTGTCTGCCGTGTTTTTGTTCTGGTCCGTCGTGCGACCGCAAATTTTCTGAGGACGTCCCTAGCGAAAACGTAGTTTCCAACATAGGTGGTAGTAATACACCTCCGTCGACATCTCACTTTGGCTAGGGTGTCTCAGGCGAAACGCCAATTCATTTAGATTAATAAATTTCGCGGCGATCAATGTTTCGAGGATGTTTCTAGCGAAACGCTTGTTGTTAAACGCGGTGTCGCGAAAATCTCATTTTGGTGAAGACGTCTCGCGCGAAATCGCTGTTTGGGGGGATCCACTAACGAATGGCGCCGTGCACCCCGCCACCCTCTAGTAGTAAGAGGCCTGACCGGACAAGAACGGGACGCGTCGTTTGTGTCAAGGGCATACGAGAGATCCTACGTTCTTAGTGCGCGCTGCGCAAAACTATCGTGGCGTGCGTGCGTTTGCGCGTGCGTGCGTGGAATATGTGCGTGTGCGTCCGTGCGTGGTGGTCTGCGGCACTGCGTTGTTGTGCCAGGCTGCTCTGCCGTGCTCCTGCGGTCTGCGTGCACGTATGTTGCCTCCCTGTGTGTGCGTGTGTGTGTGTGTGTGTGTGTGTGTGTGTGTGTGTGTGTGTGTGTGTGTGCGTGCGTGCGTGTGTGTGTGTGTGTGTGTGTGCGTGTGTATGTGTCTGTGTGGGCGTGTGCGTGTGCGTGTGCCTGTGTGTGCGTGTGCCTGTGCGTGCGGTGGGTGTTATGCCGTGCTCCTATGTGTTCTGCCCTGTTCCTATGTGCTCTGCCGTGCTCCTGTGTGTTCTGCCATGGTCATGCTCTGCCGTGCTCCTGTGTGTTCTGCCGTGCTTCTGTGTGTTAAAGTTAAAGTTAAAGACGGGGCCTTCAAGGCAAGTGGTGGCCAGAACGCAGACAGAGGAGGCCGCCTTGGGCCCCCTCCCAGACACGTGCATCACAGACAGAAGGCGAAGCCTCTGGTAGAAACTACACAAGACAAGCCGTCAAGTGCAGCACTGACAAGAGCATATACTACACAAGCCAACAACAAGTGCAGGGCCGAAAAGAATATATACTACTCAATATCCCAATCGACTCACAACTGCACAATCCACTCACCCACAGGGTGTCCTGCGGGGCCTGCACGAGCTACAGTCCTCCGCACAATCTGAGAAGGCGATCGATCTCTCTGGCGCGCTCAACAGACATCCCAGGCGGAAGGGCTTCAACCGGACGAGGCCCGACCGCGAACCTCGCCCGATAATGCAGCGGTCTCCGTGTGGGAGGAATCTTGAGGCCGAAGGAGTCGCCTTCGATCATGTGCGTGAGGTCAACGGCATTTGCGTGGCGCGTCCAGGCGGGGCCCAGAAGCCCCGGCACGCTCCCCTGCCGAAGAATACCACGCATGCCCGAGCAGCTCCCGATCTCAATACCTAACGTGCGGGGCATCTGCAAAGCGGACTTTCCGCGCCCGCAGCACGCCGCCCGCATCCTCGGGGACGGCGTCCTCGCCCAGCGATGGCCCCAGCCAGACTCTGGCGACTGCCGCGCGCGCCTGCCACCAGCCTGGGGCACGACGAGATGCCCCACTGTCAGGCTGCGAGACTGGCACAGCGCCCTGCGGCGGGCCCGCGGCCCCACTCACCCCCTCAGAGCCGTCGACCAGGGCGGGGGGGCGCCCCTGGTCGGAAACTCAGCAGCAGCCGCCTCGCCACACGGAGAGCCCTCGTCGCCGTGATCCTCGAACACCTCCTCAACAGAGAGCGGCGGCGGGGAGCGCGACGAGTTGCACGTCGCGCCGCACGTGCAGAGGCGGCCGCAGCCGTCCAGCGGCACCCAGCAGCCCGAGCTCGGGACGAAAGGGGGCGCGCCACGACGGAGCCCGCTCTCGGCCTCGAGGGGCGGGGAGCCCTGCAACAGCACGTGAGCTGCGGGCTGGGTGTCCGCCCTTCTCGCCTCGAGCCTCCGCCCGTGCTTCTGGGCCTTGCGCGGCTCGGCACGGCCAGCTGAAACCAAAGACACGCCGCAGGGCCCATCGGAGTGGAGCGCCACGTTGCGCCGAAGGATGTCCAGCGCCTCGGGCCGCTCGCCCGCGAGGAGGGACGTGCTCCTGCGTGTTCTGCCGTGCTCCTGCTTCTTCTGCCGTGCTCCTATGTGTTTTGCGTGTTATAATTATAATTATAATCGGGGCCTTAAAGGCGACAAAGGAAAACGGGGACATGGCCAGGCGGGGCCAGAGCTCCCGAGAGACGCCGAGCCCCAAGCAAGCGAGCCTCGCGTGCCCACTCACACAGGAGCAACAGACGCGGGCAGAAGCGGGAGGGCCTTCAATCGCTCCCAGACGACTCCGAGCCGCGGCGCGCCAGGCGGCGGCAGACCCTGCGGCCTACCAGTCCGTCGCTGGGCGCTGGCTCCGCGGCCGCGGGCTCCCCTACTTCGGCGCCGCCTGCGCCAGGGGGCCCAGCGCTCGGCCCTGGCCGCTGCTGGGGCAGGCTAGCCGCTGCCGGCTCAACTACATGCCGCCCTGCCGCTGGAGCCACTGGGCCACTGCCCGAGCTGCTGGCCGCGGTGGAGGCTCCGCCAGTCGGCTCCGCCTCCATGCCGATCCACTCCAGGTACAGTTCCTGGGCGTGACCTGGCACTGGTCCTTGCGAGCGCAAGGCAGGGGTGCCCTCTGCTCCCGCCCTCTGCCTGTACTCCCGCGGCCTGCCACCAGGGTGGAGCCCTCGCTCCCACAGGCTGCGCTGGTCCCTCGACTTGTTCGTCAGGTTGCTGGGCCCTGGGCACTGCATCTTCAGGCGAGACCTGTCTCCTGCGCGCCCGCCCAGCATCTTGTAGGCGCCGCGCATGGTGCACGCCGCGATCTCCTGGGTATCCTCTCCTTCGCCGACGCAGGCGCAGCTGAGCACGTGCCCCAGGACGCTGAACGCGACGGCCGTGGCCGAGAGGGCTGCCGCGCTGCTCCCCGTCGAGCGGCTGTCTTCCAGGCGGACCCGCACCGCTGGGGCGCCGCCGCCGCGATCCTCCCCAGCCTGCAGGGCCTCCGATGCCGCCGCAGACGTCATCAGGTAGCTCTCCTCGGTAGGCAAGGGCCCTCCGCTGCTCGCGGCCCAGCCAATGACGTACTGCTCGCTGTCGCGTGCGCCGTCTCCTCCACCTCGCGCTCGCCACTGCGTCGCGTTCTCTTCGACTCCTGGCCGCGGCCGCGGCTCGAGGAACACGGAGTTGGACGTGCCGCCGAGGCCCATGACCGCGTACCTCTCCGACTCGAGGTGCCTGTTGCCGATCCACTGGGCCTGCACCTCGTCGCGGGCGGCCGAGGCATGGCTCACGCCCGTGGCGGCTTCCCCGCCTCTGGCAGCCGCCCCCTCACGTCTCTGCGCTCGCGCCCTGAGTGGCGGCACGGTGGGCAGCTGTGGACTCGCACTCCTGGTCATCGCCTCAGGGGTTCAGGTACCCCTGCTCTGCCCGCGGCCTCGATCCACTCGCTGGCGCCGAACTCGGTGCCCCCAACTACGTTCTCTCCTGTGCTCAGGAGGACGCGGACACCGCTGGGCCCAGCAGCGCGATCCTGGTCCCAGGGCGGGGCGAGGACGTCCATGCCGCGGAGCCCCGCCCAGCCGCTCTCGACGACCTCGGTGCCGCTCCCATGCAGGCACGGGGCCGCCGCACAGGCCTCGCTATGCACTCGCTGGCCCTGGCTGTGCCCCATCCGAGGCGGTTCCCAGCGGCCTTGCCAGCAGGATGAGCAGCCAGGGGAGGCAGGTCCGCTGCCTCTGCCGACAGCTCCCGCTTGCACGACTGGGCCACCGTGGGCCACTCGCCCAGCGCCTTGCCGCACCGCTCGGCTTGGCCTCGCTCCGCTGCTGGCTGGGGCTGCCAGACGCCGCCGCAGTCTGCGAGACCGCCAGCGTTGCCGCTGATCTCCTCCACGGGACAGGACTCGGCCCACGGCGTGCGCTTGGAGGCCAGTGGTGCCCCCTCGAGCTGCGCCCGCACTGCCTCCATCTGGGCGCGAATAGCCGCCCAGGCCACCTCGAAGTTGCTGGTGCTCCACGCCTCTGGCAACTTATCCAGCTGCACGAGGAGTCCAGGTACCTGGCTGGCTCCTGTCCACTCGGCTGCGCGCTGGCGGCGCATCGCCTCGGCCTTCCTCGCGGGCTGCTTCCTCGAGCGCCTGGAGCGCCAGGCTCGCCTCCTCCACCTCCTCGTCGAGCTCCGCGAGCTTCTCCTGGGCCAGGTGGAGCTGGGACTCGACGATGTCGCGCGCCTCCTGCTTCTGCTCGATCTCCATGCGGGCTGCCCGGAGCCGCTTCTCGCCCTTGCTGATGGCGTTCGCCTCCCTGTGGAGCCGCGTCGCCCGTGGCAGGGACGAGGCCTTCTGCTCCGCTGCAGCTTTTTGGGCCTTGACCAGCTCCGCACGCTTCGCCTCCAGCTGGCTGGCCACGACGTCGGTGAAGCACCCATCCACTCCGTCTGGGGTCTGGGGGCTCAGCTTGCAGCGCCTCGAGCTGCTCGACGGCCGCCTGGAGCATCTCGATCGCCGTGGCGCCTCCACCGCTGGGCGTCCCACTCGCTGCCGTGGCCGAGGTCTGCGACTCGGTGGATGCTGCCCGCGTGGCCGCACCGCGGGCCTGCCTCTGGGCACGGCGCCCACGTGGCTGATCCAGCCAGCCGTCCTTGTCTGCCTTGGGCCTCGCCTTGGGCGGGGGCGTCCCAGTCGCCCATGGCGGGGCCGCATACCCGCAGCCCAGGCAAGAGGTGCGCCAGTCCCAATTCCACTTGCAGCAGCTGCACATCCAGTAGGACTTGCTGCGCCTGCCGCCGCCGCCGCTGCACGGGGACCTCGCCATGGCCACTGCCGCACAGGCCGCGGGGCTGCGCCTCCGCGCGGTGAAAGCAGGGAGCACACAAACGAATTGCTCTGGCCCAAAGCGCGGAGACCCTCGCGCTCAGAGCGCCGCGAACGACTCGCGGTCGTCGGGTTCTCCATGGCCTTGAGCCAAAATGGCTACGGAGTGTGTTTTGCGTGTTCTGTCGCGCTACTGTGTGTTCTGCCAAGCTCCTGTGCTTGTGCTGCCGTGCTCCTGTGTTCTGTGTGTTCTGCCGTGCGCCTCGTGCTCCTGCGTGGTCTGCCGTGTTCCTGTGAATTCTGCCGTGCTACTGCGTGTTCTGCCGCGTGTTTTGCCGTGTTCCTGCGTGTTCTGCCGTGCTCCTGTGTCTTCTGCCGTGCTCCTGTGTGTTCTGTGTGTGTTTGCCGTGCTCCTGCGTGTTCTGCCGTGTTCCTATGTACTTATTATGTGTGTTATGCTGTGCTCCTCCTGCTCCTGTATCTTCTGCTGTGCTCCTGCATGTTTTGCAGTGCTCCTGTGTGTTCTGCCGTGCTCCCATATGTTCTTTGGGTTATGCCGTGCTCCTGCGTGTTCTGCCGTGCCCCCGCATGTTCTGCCCCGTGCTTCTGCGTGGTGGTCTGCCGTGATCCTGCCCATGTTCTGAAATTGTCTCATTTCAGAGTGATCGACCCGCGAACCCGGAAAGGAATCTAGACGTGTAAGACATGGCAACGGTTCGAAGACACCTGATTGGGCGACGGGCAAATGCAATGCTTAGTGTATCGGTATTGATGTACCGTGCCGAGGGCTGCGCTGTGCAGCGATGTGCTGAAATGTGCTGTGCCATGCCACGAGTGTGCTCTATAGCGTTGTGGATCGAGTCCTCCGATGCCTCCGAGTCCTGACCGAACTGATCTGGATCTTAAGCTCGAGCTGCCTGAGCACATAACCAGTAGCTGCCCCAGAGCTGATTGACAGGGGGACATGCCAGGAGGACGTGCCGCGGAACGTCCCAAGGGACTCGCCAGGCGACGTGCCAGGGGACGTGCCATGGGGACGCACCGCGGGACGTGCCGAAAGGACGCGCTACGGAACGTGCCAATGGACGCGCCACGGGACGTGCCAGGGGGCGCGCCGCGCGACGTGCCAGGGGGACTCGCCACAGGACGCGCCACGGAACGTGCCAAAGAACGTGCCAAGTTGCAATGCTGAATGTATCGATCTTGATGTACCGTGCAGAAGGCTGTGCTGTGCTGAGCCATGCTGAACTGCGATGTGACATGCCGCGATTGTGCTCTATAGTGTTGTGGATCGAGTCCTCCGTTGCATCCGAGTCCTGACCGAACTGATCTGGATCTTAAGCTCGAGCTGCCATAGCACATAGTAGCTGCCCCAGAGCTAATTGACAAGGGAACATGCCAGGAGGACGTGCCGCGGAACGTCCCAAGGGACGCGCCAAGCGAGGTGCCAGGGGACGTGCCACGGGGACGCACCGCGGGACGTGCCGAAGGGACGCGCTACGGAACTTGCCAATGGACGTGCCACGGGACGTGCCAGGGGACGCGCCGCGCGGCGTGCCAGGGGGACTCGCCACGGGACGCGCCACGGAACGTGCCAAAGAACGTGCCAAGTTGCAATGCTGAGTGTCTCGATCTTGATGTACCGTGCGGGAAGCAATGCTGCACTGCGCCGTGCTGAACTGCGATGTGCCACGTGACGAGTGTGCTCTGTAGCGTTGTAGATCAAGTCCTCCGTTGCATCCGAGTCCTAACCGAACTGATCTGGATATTAAGCTCGAGCTGCCTGAGCACACAGTAGCTGCCCCAGAGCGAATTGACAAAGGGGCATGCTAGGAAGACGCGCCGCGGAAAGTTCCAAGGGGCGCGCCAAGCGACGTGCCAAAGGACGTGCCATGGGGACGCACCGCGGGACGTGCCAAAGGGACGCGCTACGGAATGTGCCAATGGACGTGCTAAGGGACGTGCCAGGGGACGCGCCGCGCGACGTGCCAGGGGGACTCGCCACAGGACGCGCCACGGAACGCGCCAAAAGGCAATGCTGAATTAATGTCTCGATCTTGATGTACCGTGCCGAAGGCTGCGCTGTGCTGCGCCGTGCTGAACCGCGATGTGCCATGCCGCGATTGTGCTCTATAGTATTGTGGATCGAGTCCTCCGTTGCATCCGAGTCCTGACCGAACTGATCTGGATCTTCAGCTCGAGCTGCCTGAGCACATAGTCCACATAGCAGCTGCCCCAAAGCTAATTGACAAGAGAAAATGCCAGGAAGACGTGCCGCGGAACGTTCCAAAGGACGCGCCAGGCGACGTGCCAGGGGACGTGCCACGGGGACGCACCGCGGGACGTGCCAAGGGGACGCGCTACAGAACGTGCTGGGGACAAGCGTCGTGCTGGTGACCTGGACACGCAAAAACACGGTGCCCACTCGGGACAGCCATGTTAGATACCCCCTGGGTGGCCTGGACACATAAAAACACGCGGTTCCAGCTCGGGACAATCATGCAAGAGGTCTCCCTGGGTGGCCTGAGCATGAAAAAACAAGTGGTTCTAGCTCGGGACAGCCATGTTAGACACTCCCCTGCGTGACCTGGATACGCTGAATTCGCGCTCCCGCTCGAGACATCCTCGCAATGTCTTCCCTGGAGAGGCCCCCAAAGCGCAACCCCCTGTTCAAAGCAAGAAGCCATCACTTTTCTGTATTGGGACGTGTGTTCGGGTAGAGTTTTTTCGGCCCCCCGTGCGTTTCCTCATAATTCGGCGTTGGGCCCGACGCCATGCTAGATACCCCAACTCTGCAAAACCAGCGTTTCGCTCGAGACATCCTCAACAAATTCTGAACAACAAGCGTTTCGCTCGAGACATCCCCCAACTCTGCAAAACCAGCGTTTCGCCCGAGACATCCTCAACAAATTCTGAAAAACAAGCGTTTCGTTCGAGACATCCTCAAACATAATTTCGCCGGCCTCCTTCAAACTCGTCATTTATCGTATGATAATTCAGCCGGCCTCCTTCAAGTCGAAACCGGGGGTAACAATACTAAAAGAGAACCCTGGGCCGAAGCCCTTTCCGGGAAAAACTGAATTGTAACATGCATGGTATTACATCAACCTGTTGAATATCTATTTGTTTCGAGGATGTCTCAAGCGATATCCACATGTCTATACGTTTGTTACATTCGCGGTTTCCATTTTCTGGTGGGTTTCAGGCGAAATGCTTGATTATGTGAAAGACTGTGTTGCGAGCAATTCATGTTTTTAGGATATATCGAGCGAAATGCGCATTTTGAGGAATCTCGACGGAGCTCTTGGGGTCATATTGGGGCTCGTTTGTGGCTCGTTCGGGGCCGTTTCGATGCCACCAATAACGATGCCAATGCAATGCCACACACATCTCTTTGTTGAGGATGTCCCTAGCGAGATCGTCATTTTTGAAAGCCTGGCTTGGGCCGTCTGGAAGCCTTTTTTAAGAGCGACCCCATGATGATGTTAGAACCGCAGTTTTCAAAACGACGCGATTGTATTTTTCATGTTTTGAGAATGTCCCTGGCGACATTGTCATTTTCGGCAGTCATCAGGGCACTTTTGGAGCCATATTGAGGTCCGTGTTAAGCTTTCATTTCTTCATCTTGAAGCACTTCAAGAACGATGTCAAGGCGATGTTGATAACATCTCACTGTTTGAGGATGTCCCCAGCAAAAATCATATTTTCTGCCGTGCTCTTTTTTCTAGTCCGCCGTGCTGCCGCTCATTTTCTGAGGACGTCCCTAGCGAAAGCGTAGTTTTCAACATGAGAGGTAGTAATGCACCTCCGTCGACATCTCATTTGGGCTAGGATGTCTCAGGCGAAACGCCAGATCTTACAGATTAATGAATTTCGCGGGCCTCAATGTTTCGAGGATGTCTCTAGCGAAACGCTTGTTTGTGTCAAACGCGATGGCACGACTCATTTTTGTGAGGATGCCTCAAACAAAATCGCTGGTTTGGCAAACCTGGCCAGGCAAGAACGGGAAGCGTCGCTTCTGTCCACTAGGTATGTGAAATATGATATTCTGTTGGTCCGCCGCGCAGATATGTCGTGGCGTGCGTGAGTTTGCACGCGCGCGTGCGTGCGTGGAATGTGCATGTGTGTTCGTGCATGGTGGTCTGCGGCACTGTTGTGTTATGCCGTGCTACTCTGCCGTGCTCCTGCGGTCTGCGTGAACGTATGTTGCCTCTCCGTGTGCGCGTGTGTGTTCGTGTGTGCATGTGTCTGTGTGTGCGTGTGCGTGCGTGTGTGTGTGTGTGTGTGTGTGTGTGTGTGTGTGCCTGTGTGCGTGTTCCTATGTGCGTGTGCCTGTGTGTTCTGCCGTGCTCCTGTGTGTTCGACCGTGCTCCTGTGTATTCTGCCATGGCCCTGCTCTGCCATGCTCCTATGTGTTCTGTCGTGATCCTGTGTGTTCTGCCATGCTCCTGTGTGTTCTGCCGTGCTGCTGTTTCTTCTGCCGTGATACTATGTGTTTTGTGTGAACTGCCGCGCTCCTGTGTGTTCTGACATGTTCCTGTGTGTACTACCGTGGTCCCGTGTACTCTGTGTGTTCTGCCATGCTCCTCGTGATCATGCGTGTTTTGCCGTGCTCCTAGGTGTTCTGCCATGTTCCGGCGTGTTCTGCCGTCAACTCTGCAACGCACCTGTGTGTTCTGCCGTGCTCCTGTGTGTACCGCCATGCTCCTGTGTGTTCTGCCGCGCTCCTGCTCGTTCTGCCGTGCTGCAATGTGTGTTGTGTGCTCTGTCGTGCTCCTGTGCGTTCTGGCATAATCCTGCGTGTTCTGCCGCGCTCCTGCTTGTTATGCCATGCTCTGCCGTGCTCCTCCTGCCCCTGTGTTCTGCCGTGCTCCTGCGTGCTCTGCCGTGCCTGCGTGTTCTGCCGTGTTCCTGTGTGTGCTGCGTGTTCCGCCGTGCACCTGCGCGTCAGTGTGCGAGAGGACGGCGTCCACAATACTCGAAAATGAAACGAACACCGCCTGGGACTCGAGGGCGCCTTTGGACGCCCATC